AAATGGATTTCCCTGACACCCAGCTCCCCGTCTGCCTGGCAGCTCTGCCTCGTCCTGTGACTGCATCGTGCCACCCCCGCTTATGACATCTCATTGAGGAAAAAGAAAGTTGCACAATAAACAAACCTCTGGAATCTGTGGTCCCCACTCTGCTCCCTCCACCCCCAGGCAGCCCCCCTTGGCCCCGGAGGTCTGACCTGCCCCCAGGGGTGCACTGAAGCTGGCGGCTGGGAGCCGTTCTAACCAATGGGACACCTTTGCCCAGATGATGGGCCTTCCCTCTGCTGACTCACCTGCCCACGCGTGCCCCTGGCCCTGAAACACGCCAACAATGCTAGGAGGTGGAGCCCACTTTTCCTTCTCACATCTGGTTCTCGGAAATGCCCCCTCCAGTTACGCCCGCTGCGGGAGGGCATGTGCTGGGCAAGGGAGGAGCAGGAGTGGGCCCAGTAGGTGCTGCCCATCGCCAGGGGGAGGGCAGCATCTCTCCCGCCCTCCTAGGCCTGGAGGGGGGGGGGCGCCAGAGCCCCTCAGCTCCCGCCCCCAAGAGGCCATGTGCAGGCTGAACAGCACCCATGTCCTGACACAGGTGCTAGGACAGGGTCGCACCGGGTTCCAGGTTCCCCTAGCTGGCAGCCTGAGGCACCCCCCACCGCCTTCCCTGCTGGGTCAGGGACCTGGGGGAGGCGGTACAAATACCAGAGGCCCACTCACTCCTTGTTCAGCTCTGGGTAAAATGGTTCCTCTGAGCATTTGTTAAAAGGCCCAGTATCTAGCCCGGCCAGTGTGGCTCAGTGGCTGAGCATCGACCTATGAACCACGTCACTGTTCGATTCCTGGTCAGGGCACATGCCCAGTGTGGGGCATGCAGGAGGCAGGTAATCAGTGGTTCTCTCTCATCATGGATGTTTCTATCTCTCCCTCTCCTTTCCTCTCTGAAATCAATAAAAGAATATAAAAAATAAAATATATTAAAAAGATAGGCTTTAAAAAATAAGTTAGTATTCAACACTACTAAACTGGACACTTAAAAATGGTTAAGATAGTGTTTTTACCACAATAAAATAAGTGGGAAGTCAAATTCATAGAAACAGACAGCAACAGGGCTGGTGGCCGGGGCAGGTCGGGGGCGGGGATGGAGTGGGAGCCACCGTTGAGGGCACAGCGTTCCCGTTCTGCAAGCTGAGAGGAGTCTGGACAGACTCACAGTGACAGTGACCCCGACGGTGTGTGCACGGCCGCGCTGCACTCGGCGTCTCATGCGTGTGCTGCGCCCGGCTGCGCGCTTCCTCAGGGCAGCAGCCACGGCATGGAGCTCATCCACCACACACAGAGTGGGGGCTGCCAGCGCACGGAGTGTGACCTCAGGACGTGCTATGGAAAGGCACACGCAGGGCCCTCTGCCAGGCCCCGCGCTTCCCAGGGGATAAGGCAGGAGGCGGCGTTAACACAAAAGACAGACTCCACTACTTTAAAAAATATATATTTATTGACTTTTAGAGAGGGAGCAAGATAGAAACATCAATGATGAGAGAGAATCAATAATCAGCTGCCTCCTGCACGCCCTCTACTGGGAGTGGAGCCTGCAATCCGGGCATGTGCCCTGGACCAGAATCGAACCCAGAGCCCCTCAGTCCTCAGGCCGACCCTCTATTCACTGAGCCAACCCGGCCAGGGCTAGAATTCAAACTCTTCCCCATGACCTCAGAGGCCCTGTGGGCCCTGGCTTTCCTCTCCACTGACACCTTGTCCACGCCCTCCCTGGGCCCGCAGAGTGCGCTCTGACCTCCCTGTGCTGGGGCCGCTCCTGCTGCTCGTCGGGGGGCACTGCTTCCTACCTTTCAGGCTCCGCTCCGCTCCGTAGCCCCATGACTCTCCCTCGCATCCTGACCAAGGACCACCCATTGTTCTCCTATTGCCTCCGACATGTGAATGACCAGAATATGCAATCATCTGATTTACGTATTGGTTTCCTGGCATGCTATTGAGGAAGAACAATAGAAGCAAGAAATCAGGAGGCGCCCTGGCCTGTTTGCTCAGTGGATAGAGCATCTGCCTGAGGACTGAAGGGTCCCGGGTTCAATTCCCGGTCAGGGCACATGCCCAGGTTGTGGGCTGGATTCCCAGTGGGGGGCATGAAGGAGGCAGCTGATCAATGATTCTCTCTCTTCATTGATGTTTCTCTCTCTCCCTCTCCCTTCCTCTCTGAAATCAATAAACATATATTTTTAAAAAATCAGGAGGATATTGCAATAGTCCAAGAGATGATGCTCATCTAGAAAGAAAATGTGGCAGCAAAAGCAAAGAGAAGTGGTGGCTTTGGGATCTAGAGCGTTAGAGCTGAGAGGACTGGTGAGATCGGAATACGGCCTATAGATTAACCAATATCAGTTCCCCAGTTTTGATATTATGCTACAGCTATGTGAGATGTTACTACTGAGGGAACCTGGGGGAAGTATACACAGGACCTCTTTTTGCTATTTTTGAACTGCCTGTAAATCCGTTATTTTTAAACTAGAGGCCCGATGCACAAAAATTTGTGCACTCGGGGGCGGGGAGGGGAGTGCCTCAGCCCGGCCTGTGCCCTCTCGCAGTCTGGGACCCCTGGGGAGATAACAACCTGCTGGCCTAGGCCCGATCCCAGGTGGCAGAGGGCAGGCCCAATCCCTAGGTGCAGCCCCTGGTCGGGCTCAGAGCAGGGCCGATTGGGGAGTTGGGGTGCCTTCCCCTGTCATGCACAGAGCAGGGCCCATCAGGGGGTTGGGGCGCCTTCCCCTGTTACGAACAGAGCAGGGCGGATAGGGAGGTTGTGGCCCCACTCCCTGTCACACACAGAGCTGCAGGGCAATCAGGGGGTTTGGGCGCTGCCCCATCACACTGATCCCGGTGCCAGGAGGCCTCGCGGCTCCGCTGATCCCGGTGCTGGGAAGCATATTACCCTTTTACTGTATAGGATAGAGGCCTGGTGCACGGGTGTGGGCCGGCTGGTTTGCCCTGAAGGGTGTCCTGGATCAGGGTGGGGGTCCCCACTGGGGTGCCTGGCTAGCCTAGGTGAGGGGATGATGGCTGTTTGCAGTTGGTCACGCACCCTTCAGGGTGGGAGTCCCCACTGGGGTACCTGGCCAGTCTGGGTGAGGGGCTGAGGGCTGTTTTCAGGCTGGCGGGTGACTGAAGCTCCCAACTGCTCCTTTTTTTCTTTTTTCTTTTTTTATTCTGGGCCAGCTTTAGCTCTGGCTCCAGCTCTGAGGCCTCTGCTGCTGAAAGCAGGTATCTGATTTGTTTGGGTTCTATAATCGAAACACTGTATCAACTCCAGCTCTGAGATCCCGACGGGCTGAAAGCAGGTTTCTGGGGTTTTGTTTAGTTTCTATATTTGTAACAATGTTTCAAACTGCAAGCTCAGAGGCCGGCAAGGCAGGCGGGGAACATTGGAGTCCTCCGTCACTGAAGCAAGCAAGCCAAATGTTAGCTTCAAGCTGCCTGGCTGCTGGCCACCATGTTGGCTGGCACTTAATATGCATATCTTGCTGATTAGCCAATGGGAAGGGTAGTGGATGTACGCTAATTACCATGTTTCTCTTTTATTAGATAGGATGAGTTTTTGTTGTTGCTATTAATCCTTACCTGAGGATATTTTTTCCATTGATTTTTTTAGAGATTGTAAGGGAGGGAAGGTGAAAGAGAGAGAGACATCAATGTGAGAGACACATCAATTTGCCTCCCACGTGCACCCCAACCAAGTGTTTTTTAATTCTCAACAATCCTCCCCCCCAAAAAAAGCCAAGTATTAACTCCAGAGGGAGGGGAAAAAAGAATTCCAGTAGCACATTACATGGCTTATCTGTGAATAATATTTATATAGTCATCTACTTATATAAAAACCATGGGTGGTGTTTTCACATACAGATGAACAGTGGCTGAGCGGAAGGAAGTCAGAGAAAGCTGCCCTCGAGTTCCAAGTTCTGCCCTCTTCCAGACAGTCCAGTTTCTCCCTGTATGAGTCTGGGTCCCCAGAGAGTCACCTGGAACTGGAGTTCAGAGCAGTCGGGGGCTTGTGACTCCCTCCCAATTCAAAAAGACAACCACGTCCTCTGTTGCCAGCCATTTCCACGTGCTCCTCCGTACCTCTGCACTTCCACACCTCCTCTGAGTCTCAGTGTACTTTTCTCTTTCCTTCTAGTTGTAGAATTTCCACTCAGCCAGCCTTCCTGTGGTTCTGGATGATGTCCGTTTTGTCTTTTAGTTGTATTTTTGAATTTGTTGTGGGAGGCAGCAATTTCCGGTGTTTACCTATGCAGCCATCTTGGTTTCTCCGAGCTCATCCTTGATGTTTCTATCTCTCTCTCTCCCTCTCCCTTCCTCTCTGAAACCAATAAAACTATATTTTTTAAATTCCTATATAATAAAAGGGTAATATGCAAATTGACCAAACCATGGAACGAGCAGTCGTATGACGTGCACTGATCACCAGGGGGCAGATGCTCAATGCAGGAGCTGCCCCTAGCCCGCAGGCTCCAATCGCCTGATCAGGAACCGCCAGCCAACCTCTCGGTCCCTTCCCCCGGCGGGTAGGCTCTGATCACCCGCTGGTGAAAGGGAACCAGGGGTGGGTGTCAGCAGGGGCAGGGCCGATG